AACGATTAAATGAAAAAAATGAATGAACAACTGAAGGAAAAAAAGTTGGAAGGAACGAACAAATATACAAACGAAGGAAAAGATAAAGGAAATAAGGAAGGTACAATGAAAAACCAGATGCAGAACAATGTTCTGTTTAATTACCTGCAAATAGTTATAATTCTCATGCAACAGTTCCCTTGAGCAGGTAAAACCGGTGCAGATAACTGTTAACAAACAATCAGATTATCCAATACCATAGCTATTTTCAAACACTCAAATAGTTTAATTAGAATCACAGTAGATGACATGTTTTTGAAAAAAACTTTTGCTTATCACTCTACCCAAGAAATAACTGCGTTATCAAAAGTATAAGCTCAGGTTGGAACAATTATATATATATGACAGCACTYCTGGGAATAGGAAGTGTATGATGGGATCAGGTCCCAAAATACATGTAGTATATCCCAAGTTAGCAAGTGTGGTATATTTATGAACAGAGCCATGTGCACACATGAGGTGGTGGATACTAAGGGTCTTGGAGGAAAACACAAGGATGAAACCATAGAAAGGGTACTAGATAGTAAAGAATTTGTGTGAGGCCTACTGTTGTAGTGTTGGATTTATTATGAGTCTGAGCTTTCACTGTGTACAGCGCAGAAAAATATAGTACATTTATYCTAAAAAGCATGTTGCATAGAACTCTGTAATGAACATAGCTGACCTGAACTAGTGACAGGAGTGAACTGAACCGAAATAAAATAAAGGTTGCAAGCATATAGTAAATATGACAGTGTATAAATTAACAGRCCCAATATGATGTAGATGACAAAGGTAATGAGACATCCCCACAAGGTACCAAATGGTATTGCACGTCCGGGGTTCTTTAGGTCACCTGACATGTTGACGCCAGCTTCAAGATTGGTAAAAAAAGCATTCAAAATAAGGATAAGTATTAAATGTAATATGAAGATTGTGTAGTTCCAGAAATTATCCATACCCACCCCTCCCCAATGATTTTCTTTCATACGTCTTGTAAACTCTGTAATGCTTTCACTGACCTCCCCTACCAAGTGGAAATTTCAAAAGCACTCTGTGGCATTCGAAATACTGTAACAAGGATTAGTATGTAATATTAAGATGAATAAATAAGGGTAGCATCAATTTACAACAGCAAGGTTTGGAGTAAAGTGAGCGTCCCTACCCATGATTCCTGTGACGCCATTGAAGAGAACTCCAAAAACAGACAGGGCATCAAGTTTATGAAGTTTATGAAATTCTTTTTTGGTTCTTGCTGCTGAGTAGTCTTTGCTGAATTCAGGCTGTGAAGGTAAAATAATATTAGAAGATAATAACTAAAAATAAATGCAATAATTATGTAGTTGCAGTAGAAAAAGCAATTGTCTAGCGACAATTCTAGCAGCAACAGCAGCAACCACAGCAATAATATCCGCAGCAACAAAAACAACATCAACAACAACAGCAACAAAAACAACAGTAATAGCAGTACAAGCAGTAGTAGAGGCAACAACATTGATCAGCAGTAGCAGCATCAACAACACTAACAGCAGCAGCAACAACAGTAATAGCAGTACAAGCAGTAGTAGAGGCAACAACATTGATCAGCAGTAGCAGCATCAACAACACTAACAGCAGCAGCAACAACAGCAATAGCAGTACCAGCAGTAGTAGAGGCAACAACATCAACAGTAGCAGCATCAACAACACTAACAGCAGCAGCAGCAACAGCAATAGCAGTACCAGCAGTAGTAGAGACAACAACATCTGCAGTTAGCAGCATAAACAACACTAACAGCAGCAGCAACAACATTATAACTGTAAAACAAAATTACATTTATTTATCATTCATTTACCCAAAGGTTTCTCTTCGCTGTCTTAAAGCTCCAACCTGTGTAATGGTATGTAATGTTTCGCTGAAATCAAAGAGCCAGGTTATAAGCTGATGATGTTCAGTATATACAACACTGTGTTTGGGCAAGGTGTTGTTCTGACCCATTAGAATCCTTAAAACAACCAGTGGAATGAATATGTATAAAACTTTTTACTTTGGGCTTAATATTTTCCCATTTCAAAGCATGTGTCATTCCCTTGAGAATAAGATTCAATTTGTTTGAGTTGTATCCATATTTGTGTCTTCTCATGTGCAACTATCAAACAAAAATATATATACTCTTGGGAATGACACATGGTCTGAAATGGGAAAACATTACGCCCAAGTCAAAAAGGTGTATTGTTTTGCCCTGAAAATGATAAAGTATGTCAAAGTGAACATCATGTGACCTTTTAGCTAGTGCAGAAGCTAGGCCTATCACAACCCTCTTGTTATCCTCCTGGTTAAGCCCTATAGCCAGGACCACAAAGGCCAACCATCATTTTACTAGTTAGAGTATGTCATACAGGTTAAAGTAGTATCACTTACATTTAAGCTGTCTAGATTGGCACTTGCTGGGTGTACCTGCATTTTGTTCTGAATGATGAAACTGACCTGATCAAATGGAAAAGGAAAATTATAATATTTAGACTTTTTATAACTAACTGCATAATCATTCATTATCTATATGTGAACAATAACAATTATTGAAAAGGAATAGCAAAGCAATGAATGTATGTTTGGATGGACAGATGGATGAATGGATAGATGAGGGAGCTAGGGAGGGAGGGATATATGGATGGACAGATGAATGAGAGAATGAATAGATGGATGAATGGATAAGAAGATTAAATAAATGGATGAAGAAAAAAACTAGCTTACCATTGCAGTGACAACAGCAGTTATCACAGCCAAAAAGATGATAAAAGATGTCTTGGCAAACATTTCTGTGAGATAATTGGGRAAAAAAACGCACTAAACTCATGACATTTGCATTACATAATCACTAGAGTAAAAGGAGGATATCATTTTAATTTCTATTCTAATGAGYATATAAAACAATATTTATTACCTGCACCCACAAGGCAAACGGCAAGGCAGAGCAGAAGAACACAAGTGCCATAAAGTAGCTCATACCAGTAACTTTGCTGTAATTCTAATAAAAAATAAATCCAAAACAATCATGTTTTATTTCTCTGGGAAATCTATAGCATATCAGAACTCTCTGGCTCTCTCTCTCTCCTGGGGGGGTACTCTTGCCCATTTAGGGTAGGCATGTGCCGCTGAGCCCACTGAACCCTGACCCTGTTCTAGAGTAAAATCGCTGAAATTCATACCCTGTTCCAGAGCAAGATCGCTGAACATCATACCCTGTTCCGGTATTGCAAAAAATGGATATCCTGTTCCAGGGAGGAGAGAGCGTGATTTCATAATTATACCCTGTTCCAGAGTAGAATCGCTGAAAACCATACCCTGTTTGGTGGCACATACCCATATAGCAAATATAGGGGAGTACACCCCCCCCCCCTCCCCSGGCTCTCTCTGTCTTGTTCAATCCTTCTTCTCTTTGTCAAACAGCTATATGAGGTCTGCTATGTCAAGTCAGGAGCTAAAAATGGACTTTTACATATGATATAATGGTCTTCATTATACTCCAGTTTTGAGTTCTCTGTTGCTCAGGGTTAGCTCAATTTTGTGCAGAATATTCAAAACATGTATTTCAGTGAAGGTCAGCCTTTGTATTGTTGAAGTTGTGCATTCTTTACTTTACTGTTAGTATTTGAATGTGAATATATTGTACACTGAAAAAAGGTCAAGCCTGAGTATGAGCCTGTAATCAAGGAACACAGCAGTAATTTGTAATGCGAAAAAGGTATAAGATGGAAAAACAAACAAATATCATATATACCAGATACTTGTGCCAAAAAGCCTGCAGGACCAAAGTTGTTGATTATTGCTTCAACAAAACCCAAAATGTATAAAGCACTTGAAAAAACGTTAGCAAAGAAGAATATCACTCCAATAGAGCCTCCAAACTCTGGACCAAGAGTCCTGCTTATCATGTCTGGGATTTATTGGTAATTGAATCAAGGATTATAATCCAGGGATGTTATTATTTCCATCACCATCACCATCACCATCACCATCACCATCACCATCACCATCACCATCACCATCACCATCACCATCACCATCACCATCACCATCACCATTGCCATCACCATTACTAATACAATCTTAATCATCATTGTCATCGCCCTCACCATTGCCATGGCCTTTACCATCGCCATCGCCTTTACCATCGCCATCGGCATCACCATTGACATTGCCATCACCATCGCCATCGCCATCGCCATCGCCATCGCCATCGCCATCGCCAACCAGCAACAAACACCATCACTATCACCACCACCATTGCTGCCATCATCGTCCTCCTCCTCCTCCTCATCCTCAATATGTCATCATTATTATTAAGAATACCAGCTCTTGCACATTCATGACCAACCTACACCAAGAGGTCATCGAAAAAGTACAGACAATGATGCCACAATGGGTAAATTTGTATTTTATGAACACCAAACATGCACTGATATGATTAGTGCTGACTGTTGGCTAATCATAGTTGAACCATCGGTCATTACTTTGCCGTCATCCACTGATTGACCTTTTGTTAGCCAATGTTAAGTCAGTACTTGGATAATTGAATTATCCAAGTGTTGTACAACCAGTAAAAGGTCATAAATGTATGCTTTTAATGCCAGAATGGTGTCTTGTAGTAATTGCAAGATACATGTTYATACACGATTTTCAAAAGTAACTGCCAAACTCGGTTGGGACTAGGGGCAATTGAATGGAAGAGAGGTAAGTAAGGCCTCAAAAAAAAAGAACTCAAATTGGCGAGATGAATGACATACTGTCGTACTGAGTAGATTTTGTTTACTAATGAGGCCTTATTTACCTCGCTTCCATTCAACTGTCCCTAGCCCCAACCGCGTTTGGCGGCCATTTTTGAAAGTCGTGTATGAACTTTATTTAAAGAGGGTGATGCAATGACCCCAGGGACCAGGAGTTATCTAACTTACGGCAATAGAAAATAAAATGTGCATTTCATTGTTAAAAGATTAAAGGTTAGGATACAATAGGCTCCTCCTCCCTTGACGACACCATTGGTTGCTATGGCTGAGATTGACAGCACTGTGATACTTACAACCAAATAAGCCACAACAAACAGAGCAATGCCTGCTATCAAGCCAGCCTGGATAAATCCACACATTATAATTAATATAAGTATTGATATATAAGAAAATAAAATATAATGCTATGACATGAAATGATCAACCTATTTTCAATGAATGTGGGATACCTGTGGAAAAACTCAACAGGTAGCCCAATATGTGATTTTAAATCAGCAGTTATAGTAAATTTAATTAGCAGTAATGTAGAGCAGAGCAGTTTTCGTATGGGTGAGAAACAATATGGCTAAGTCTTATGTAGCTGTCATAACAATTTATAATTTGAAATTATAATAATAATGACGATGATGGTGATGATGATGGTGATGATGATGGTGATGATGATGATGGTGATGATAATGATGATGGTGATGATGATGGTGAGTCAATGATGATGGTGATGGTGATGATAATGACAATGATGATGRTAATGATGATGATGATGATGACGATGGTGATGATGATGATGACGGTGATGATGATGATGATGTATGATGCATGATAATGGTGGTGTCATTAAATTACATAAAATATAGATAAAATATAAATATAGTACATACCTGACCAACGACATACCCAAGTCTTAGAAATAAGATGACAGAGAACATGGATAGGATAACAGGAACAACCACACCAAACATGGCAGAAAGTTTTCCCCTCTGACTGTTGTCTGAAAAAAGATGAAAAACATATTATTTTGTGATGTTCACTTTCAATCCTTACATCTGACGGCACATAATGATGGCACATCTGACACTTTAATAATCACATTTTTTATATAGATACAGTAGATTTCATTCAGCTAGGGCATAACTTTTTAAGATAATAGCATGTGCAATGAAATGGGAAAATGAGTTTCTCATGCATGTTGGCCGGCTGTTTTTATACTAGAGACAATTAATATGTCCGGATGACTTGGATAAACTCTTTTTATGCATCTTTTTACAGAGCTTAAGTTTACATATGATTATAAAGACAGGGAGAAGGTGCATTATGGGTTCTGAGGCACTATTTGATTTAATTCATCTTGAATGATGAACTATTTAAAGAAGGGACCTCATCTGAAAGGTACGGTGGTGTGACTGTAAAAAAATGGGCAACAAATGAAGAAAGTACAAAACCTGGAATTTCCTGCCAATTGAATATTCTAATGCCTGGCCCATTTCACTTGCCCTCCATAGGCAGAATGTCAAATCCGTCTTTACACTAGATGCATAGATTAATACATGCCTTTTGTGTCCTGACACATTATTTTTCTTTAATATTAAGAGGGCTTTTACCAGCTAACTGGGTCAGATTAGTGAATACCCTCACCATCCAATCACAGGTTAAAGAAATATAATATATAAACCAAGTTAAAAATGGTACAAAAGAATAGGCAAATGTTAATAGTATTCTTATGTTTAATTTGAGGTATATAATTAGTCTTTTGTATTATTTGGATCCAAGGTAATGTTTAATTTTCTTTAATTCTTTCGTAATTTGGTTGGATATCTTTTTAATAAAATATAGAATTCTCTATAACTCAAAATTCATTAAGACAAATACTAAGGAAAATGTGAATTGAATGTGAATGCTGAAAATAAGTAGTGGCCAGATATCAGAGAAAAGCCGGATTCGAAACTCACCATCATCTTCTTCTTGAACAGTTGGTTCGCCTATAAAACTAATCATTGACCCAGAATGAGCTGATGGGATTATATTATAACTATGAGTCGTAGATTCGCCTTGCATGACACGAATTACTTCACCCAAGGATCTTGAATCTTCTCTCTAGAGCGTCTATCCTAACGAGAATATCGACGATGCAAGATGAAAATAAAAGTCACGATCATCGCTCATGTGATTGTTTTGCTTTYGTGCCTAGCCTTCGCACAAAACCGGAAGTAAATATTCCAGTCAATAAATTTTTTTTCTCTTAAATAACACCTATTTTAAATATTTTTATGACCTTTAGAAATAATTTAATGAAATAATTATAAGTAATATCTTTTTTATATTTATTAAAGAATCATCAATATTTTTTTGAAATTAATTATCCAGTCGATAATTCGTCGAAAGGTTAACGAGTAAATATCGATCGAATATATTTTTGGATTCACAGTCTTGCACGTAGATGGTGTTATAGTCGCGTGTGCTTCAGCACGAAAGGTATTGTTATTAATATTCTTATTGATTAATACTCCGTTTTCCCTATTAGTGAGTTATGTTATAAGTAGATATCGTGTTTTAGCAGTTTTAGAGTGCGATGCAAATAGTTTGGTATAAAAACGCATGTTCTGGCGTTGGAAAATTTTGCGCTTTTTTGTTTGTTTTGGAATCTAGTTCAATAGATAAGACGTAATCTACTTTGTGATTTACAGGGAACTAAGATAATTCATAAAACGTTGCAAAAAGTTTATACGTTGCGATGTTTGCATATGTTTTTTCATGTTTGTATGACCTTTTGTGCAATGCAAATGATTTCATCCAGTTATTATATGCCAACGTAACATCGATATATTCCATACCTTTGTCCACAAACGGCTCCCCCTCATATTCGTGTTAATCGTCTCCCCCCTCTTCCCCTCTCTGAGGCCAAGTTTGTGCTTCAAATTTAATGCACTATTAAGATGCTAGATAAAAACCTACATTTTGTGTTTAAAATCCAGTCTGCTTAAGGAAAATAGCTTGAGTATTAAATTTCAAGTCAAATTATTCAATTTTAAACCTTTTGCTTACAAGAAAATACCACAGGGTAGCCCACCCTAAGGGAACTGATTAAATATGCAGATACATGATTCATTTTTTACATCAATCTAGTAATGCAATTCAAATTTCTGCTTCAATGTTTTGGAAATACTCCATTTTACAGTTCTGTCCAGTGACCATGAATAATAAGAGATAACTAGCTAAAATCTAGTGTGAGCTGCGTCAGTGTTTCTAATGTCCATGAATAATAGTTCCAAGCTGAGGTTGGAGTTTCGATGAATGATAAAAAGTATAAATTTGATATGTGCGGAATCTCCAACAATGACTTGGAACTATATTATGCATGGTCACTGAATGCATAGAGTATTGTGTGCACGTATCAGTGTATCATATCAATATGAAGATGATAGTGGCATTTCAATTTTCTATGATTGAAAACAGAAATGTTTATCAGGAGATAATTGTATGCTAGTAACCATGGTGATCATATAGAGTTGTATATATTAAACATTAAAAAATTTCAATGTTTTGTATTTCCATTTATTTATCAGACTTTTATTCATTATGTTTCGCTTGCTGCGTTTGAGACAAGGAGCTGTACGGCTACATCCAACAACAAGCCTGTTGCTATGGAGATGTGCCAGCACAGAGGCATCATTCAAACCTAAGGCTGTAGCATTTGACATGGGAGGGGTGGTGATTCCTTCACCCAATGAAATCTTCGGCAGGTTTGAAGTTCAACATGGTTTACCAAAAGGAGCAATCGGCAGTGCAATAAGGGCTGGAGGTGACCAAGGTAGTGCACTGTTATGACTATCGATTACATTGCATCCTACATTTATTAACTTGCAAAATCGAGTGACTTCAAAGTGTATTGTCTTAATTACTACTTCAATTGTCTACACTTTCCTTCTCTCTCTATTTCTCTCACCCCACCCCACCCCACCATCTCTGTCTCATTTTATTAAATGAATTTTATTAGCTTGCATTAATGTTGCAGTATATATTGCATGTTAATAAATGCAAATGTAGATAATGCAGGATTGGCATCATCTAAGAGTAGATTCAGGAGTCCTAGACTCTATAATGATTGTTAGTCCCTTGCCATAGTGTTCTTGATTGCATGATTTTTTTTTGAACCAGGTCCTTGGGCTCTCCTTGAGATGGGGAAACTACCTCCAGAAGAATTTGCTGAAAAATTTGCCTCAATTCTCAAGACAATGACTGATAAATCAGTTAGTGTTGAGAGTTTGTTGGATGAAATCCAGACGAGTACCTTTGCAAAACCATACCCAGAAATGCTTGCAGCAATAAAAGCAATAAGGGCACATGGTCTGAAAGCAGCTCTTGTAACAAATAACTGGTTCATGAAAAATGGGAAAACTTTCCTTCCAGTGGATGCGAATGACTTTGATGTGGTAAGAGACTTTGAATTCATAGAATTGACATCCAAATGAAAGTACATCATGATAACACTATTTTACCTGGTGTCAAGTTCTCTAGTCAAGAGCTGCTAGCTTTCCAGATTGAACAATCACTCCGTGTATGTTCAACAAAAAATATGTTACATTTTAAAAATCTTTTTCATAGTTCTAAAGGGCCACTTGGACGAAAATCGTTCCAAAATTAAAACTCTTTCATTCGAGCTGGAACTTTGCTGAAATAATCTTGAACACATTTAGAACCACTCACTGAAATATCTTTCTAATATTCGAAAGGGAAGGGCCAAAATTTTACGATTTATTTTCGTCCGCCATTA